CTCATCAACCAAGTTGGATTCAGTGGCTCTTTTGAAGAGTCAAAGAGGGACGTGACCTATAGAAATGATCCTATGAAGTACGTCGACAAAGAAAAAAAAAGGAAACAAGAAACAAGAAAGAAAGATGTAACTTTTCACTTCCTTATATAATTTTCTCTGTGTATGCGGGTAACGCCTTGCATTATTATATGCATTACTTTTCAAGCACGACTTAAAGAATGGATCACCAAGTAAGAAAGCCTAAGTATATAGATATGTCTATTATCATATACATAATCACATGTTCAGGTTTAAGAATGGATACTTTTCTAAAGTAGACTGTCCCAAAGTGACACGAAATGAGAAGTGTAATTTACTTGGTTGCATTTTCAAGCATCCGCAGGACAAAGAGCTTACTCTGAGGAAAAGACCAACGGATAGCCAAGATGATAATATAGTTCATAAGAAAGCAGATATTAAGTCTGATAAAACACCGGAAAGTGAGCCTGAGAAGGAGAATGACATAAAATTCCTCATACCGAAACAGATAAGTCATATTCTGATTTCCCGAGCGCAAAGAATACATAATGTTAAATTATTGGTTGAGTTGTATCGTTCAACTAGTGCAACTCCTAACAAACAAGCTTTGCAGAAGGAGTACGATATTATCACTAATAGTAGGAGTATTGAAACATATCAAAATTCCGTGGACAAACTACTTGGAAAGGAATCAGGCTCCAAACTTCCATTCCATGATCCGAAACATATTCTTCCAAAAGCAATTGTTGGATCTGGAGCACCAGCTATGCTACCTGAAAGAAGGAAATTTATAGAGTTAATGGTTGAAAGTATTAAGAAGTCTGATCCTTCGTGTAAGACTCCAATTTCAAAAGCAATTGATGAAGAATTCAAAATTGCAGTTGAATCTTCATCAAGTACATACAAGCAACATATAAAGCGAAAACTTTACGAATTGCAGCATCCGGAGAAAGCGAAAAATAATGCAACATTGGGTATAGTTATTAAAGATGATATCTATTGGAAATACTTGAATGAAGTCGTTATTCCAGTAAAGAAGCTTGCACAATTTGGGTATATCATGGAGATTCCAAAACCATTAGATGAAGTTAAAGATGAACGAATTTGCAGGCGATGCAAGAATGATTTCAAACTATCTGAAGTGACCAATAAGGTCCAATGTCATTATCATCCTGGGAAATTCTATAAAGTTAGCAAGAATCTTCGAAGGTATGATTGTTGTGGTGGTGAGTCCATGGATGATACTTGCACAGTAGGTGAACATCATGTCTTTTATTGGGATAATCCTGAAGAAATGAACCATGCGATACCGTTCAAGAAAACCAAAGATTTCTTAGCTGTCAAAAATTCTGCTTCATTCAAATGTCTAGGAGTTGATTGTGAAATGGGATTTACAAGCATGGGGTTTGAATTACTTCGTATCACCGCCATTGATTTTTTCAGCGGAGAAGAAGTTTTAGATCTTTTGGTTAAACCAAAGGGACAAGTGTTAGATTTAAATACCAAATGGTCTGGTATTGCCCGAATTGAAGAATCTGCGATGGACTTTAATGCACTGATTGAATTACTTGGGGAGATTATGGACCAGCAGACGATTTTGATTGGACATGGTTTAGAAAATGATATGAATACTATGAGATTGATCCATGATAGGATCATTGATACTGCAGTTTTATATCCACCACATAAGGCAACTCCTACTTTCCGATATTCATTGAAGCAATTATCATTTGAGTATTTGGGACGAACAATTCAATCAGGAGAACATGATAGTGGTGAAGATGCCTTGTCTGCGATAGACATTGTGAAGCACTTTTTAAGAAAGTCAATAGAACAGGATATTAGGAACCAATAGATAGGTAAGTTATTAAGGTAGATACCTTTTATGAATCAAACAATTTATATGTGGACCCTTTGGATGTAGCATTAGATCGAATACAAGTTTTTGATTTCCCAAGCTTACATTGTAGTTCTCCATGTAATGGAATCGTTAGTGCAAAGGAATCACTGAAAGTATTTATTGTGTCACCTTGAGTAACTCGTAGTACTTGTTCAACCTGTGCCTCTACAAACTTCATACTGAGTACGATTTGACCAAATTCTTGGTATGATAGTAAACACTCAATCGGATCCAGGATAGAGCCAAAATCATAAAATTGGAAGTGGGAAAGGTCCTCCTTACTTTTGAAAAGAGCCATAAGACTCTCTTCGATTTTAACTCTGATCACATCGTTAGCATTATACTGAAGTAAGTTGGTGAGAACTTGAGCGCAATAGGGCGTCAAAATTGAACGATACTTTGGATTCATGTTGATACGACATTCAGATGCTATAATATCTCTATTTATTATTCCCAAGTCTCTCAAGTAGTAGTCAGCTTTAATGTGAGTAATTTTTGAAGTGTCAATGGTCACTTCTTCATTTCTTCGTGAATCTGTTGCCTCTCTAAATAAATGAGATAACTTAGGTATCCCAATGTTGGAACTATCACCTGTGAAAAGAATCTTTTCCGAGGATCTTAATCTACCTTCGACGCAAACAATGCTCACTATTAATAAGCTGATCAAACCCTGGATATTCATTTGTCAATTAAGTAAATCAACTACTAATAATTTGCAGCTATTAAAGGAAGTGCACTTATTAATGTGATCAAGTCGCTCTTATTTTGGTGTTAGGGTGCGGAAAATAGACACACGTACACAAACACCTCTAAACACGAAAGTTGTGTTTTGTGATACTTTTATTTACGGGGTATACGCGTATGAGGGAACGACACCTTCAATCATTTCTTTAAACCAACTACCCTCCAACTCTTTAGGTTTTCAGCAGTAACCATTAGCCAAACTGGATATGCTGAAGTTGAAGACACCTGTTAGAACAGGGAAAGCAAAGGGAGGCTCATCTTCAGGAAAGATGAAACAAGCGAGTCTTATGTCATTCTTTAAGCCGATGGAAAAGAAGCAATCACCATTGAAAGATCACGCCAACGGATTTTCATCATCACCATTGAAATATAAGCATACCGTTACAGAAAAGAGTGAAATAAAGAAGAATGCAGCTACGGTACTGGATGTTCGCCATGGCGAAAGCGATGACGAGAGCAAAGTCTTTGACGATGTTTCTGATGATAGTACTCCGTCATCCACGTCACCTGTTGCATCCGCAGAATGTGCAAAGACGAGACACATGATACCATCCAGCCCTCTGAGAGTATCAGATAGAGAAGATACCGAGATAGCTACACCATTGAAGAAGCCCATGTTGGAGAAAGCAGATGGTCTAACGGGAAGACAAGCAAAGCGTAATGTCAGTTATGTGGAATCAGATCTGGAAGACGAAGACAATGTGATGCCTGCAAGGGAAAAAAGAAAGAGAAGAGTTATTGAAAGTGATTCAGAGGATGACTTCAAACCTGGTGATGATAATGATGATGATGATGACGATGATATGAGTGACTTTGTTGTTGATGACGAGGTTGAAGAAGAACAATCTAAACTGGAGTCTGATGCGGAAGACTCTATTTCAATATCCAAAAAGCGAAAAACTTCAAAGCCATTGAAAGTGTCATCTGTTAAATCTGAACCAGTAGAAAACAGTAATGCATTGGGTCAGAAGTTTGCCGCCGGATCATCATATATAGCAACAGTATCTGCTAGAACGCCCAAAAGTTCCACTAAGAAGTTGCTGCATACTCCAGAAACGAAAAAGCCATTTTCCAAGGAAAATGAAGAAAGATACGAGTGGTTGGTTGACATCAAAGACGCTAATAAGAGATCACTTACCGACCCAGATTATGACTCACGTACTATCTTCATTCCTCCACTGGCTTGGCTTAAATTCACTGCGTTTGAGAAACAGTACTGGGAAATCAAATCAAAAATGTGGGATACAGTTGTGTTCTTCAAAAAAGGTAAGTTCTACGAATTGTACGAGAATGATGCTATTATTGCCAATACTGAATTTGACTTAAAATTAGCTGGAGGTGGAAGAGCAAATATGAAATTAGCAGGTGTTCCCGAAATGTCTTTTGACTATTGGGCTAAAGAATTCATTAGTCACGGTTATAAAGTGGCTCGCGTGGATCAAAAGGAATCCCTATTGGCTAAAGAAATTAGAGGCAAGAGTGGTGTGAGTCAAGTTAAGGAAGAAAAAATAATTAAGAGAGAGTTAACTGGTATTTTGACTGGGGGAACATTAACCGATTTGGGAATGATCACAGATGAAATGCCTTTATATTGTATGAGTATTAAAGAAATCACTACCAGTGATTCGAAGACAATTGGTGTGGCATATGTCGATACTTCAACTTCTCAGTTATGTTTGATTGAATTTGAAGACGACATGGAGTTAACAAAATTGGATACCTTAGTAGCTCAATTGAGACCCAAAGAGGTCATTTGTGAAAAGAATAATCTTTCATCATTAGCTACTAAGATTTTGAAGTTCAACAACAATGGCATCATATGGAATACTCTTTCTCCCTTGACAGAATTCTGGGACTATGAGACTACAATAAAAACTCTTGAAAATGACTTTGGTAACCCAGAATTTTTTCAACAATACATTAATAATGAAGTTGTTATTAATGCATTTGGTGGTCTTTTGTACTATCTTCAATTATTGAAATTAGACAAGCAAATAATGGAGACCGGCAATTTCCAAAATCATAAGATTATTCAACGAAACCACATGATTCTAGATGGTACTTCTTTGGTAAATTTGGAAATATTTTGCAATAACAGCGATGGCGGAGAGAAAGGGACATTATTCAGATTCATTAATAAGTGCATTACTCCAATGGGAAAGAGAATGTTTAAACAATGGGTTCTTCATCCGTTATACAAGGTAGAAGATATAAATGATCGTTATGATACTGTTGATTTTTTAATGAATGGAGACGTGAAGTTGAGATTACTATTGGAGGATAGTATTAAAGGCTTACCAGACTTGGAAAGATTAATTGCGAGAACAAGTTCAAAGCTGTTGAGGTTTAGAGACTTCTTAAAAGTTATTCAAGGATTAGAGACCATTAATGGTCTTTTCACAAAATTACAAGAATTGTCTACTAGTGCGCCTGGAGCACTTGGGAAAGTTTTAACAACCATTCCTCAGAATTTTTCGAATTTAGTTGAAGAATGGGAAGGATCCTTTGATAGATCTGAAGCATTAAATGATGTAGTTGTGCCTAACGCAGGTGTTGATAAAGAATTTGATGATTCACAACATGAGATTGATGTCATCATATCGGAATTAAACTCAACTTTGAAAGAGTATCAACGTTCGTTCAAATGCCCAGAAATGTTATACCGTGATAGTGGTAAAGAAATATACCTTTTGGAGGTCCCCAACAGAATAAACAAGATGATTCCAAAGGATTGGAACCTAATGGGATCAACTTCTAAAGTGAAGCGTTATTGGTCACCTGAAGTCAAAGTATTAGCAAGAAACCTTCTGGAAAAGCTAGAATTACACAAGCAGATCCTGGAAAACGTCAAAGGTAATATATACAACCTTTTTAATGGGCATTATAAGGAATGGAATCATGCTGTTCAAGTTATTGCAGCGATTGATTGCTTATTATCAATAACTAAAACAAGCGAAACCATGTCCTATCCATCTTGTCGACCAACATACGATGAGAAATCAGCAACATCCCACATTAAGTTTGAGGAGTTGAGAAACCCCATTTATGAAGGAACTTGCACGTTCATTCCCAATGATGTGGAATTAGGAGGCGACAAACCTACGTTTGCACTACTTACAGGTGCAAATGCAGCCGGAAAATCCACTATAATGAGGACCACTTGTTTAGCAGTAATTTGTGCCCAATTAGGAATTTATTTGCCTTGCAGCCTGGCCACCTTTTCCAAGCCGGTAGATAAAATCATGACCAGGCTAGGAGCCAATGATAATATCATGGCAGGGAAGTCTACATTTTTTATTGAATTGAGTGAAACATCCAAGATTCTACGTAATGGAACAAAGAACTCTTTGATTATATTAGATGAATTGGGAAGAGGTGGATCTTCTAGTGATGGTTTTGCAATAGCCACAAGTGTTCTTTATCATCTAAGTTGTCATGTGCAAAGTATGGGATTTTTTGCAACTCACTTTGCCAGTTTAGGAGATGAATTCTCGCACAGTAAGCAAATTCAACCAATGAGAATGGGGATCGATGTTGACTCCAAATCGAGAAACGTTACGTTTTTGTACAAGTTAGAACCAGGTCGTGCTAGTGGATCATTTGGGATGAATGTTGCATCTATGTGTGGAATTGAAGAAAGCATTATTGACAACGCCGAAGTCGTTGCGAAGTCGTTTGAACAAACATCCGTCAACAAACAATCTACGCAATTGGCGGAGCTTGGTTTTGCGCTTGGTTTACAAAGTGATTTCAGTTGGTTGCTCGAGGAAAAGAAGTACCAGCAATTGGATGCAGATATATTAAAGTATGATAAAGAAAGTGGACTCAAAAATATTTTTGAGTTAATTACATAGGGACAATAAACTATAGGTATACGAGGACGTCTACCCCTTTCGTGTAATAAATATCATGTTATAGTGACGATAAAATCTGATGATAATCTGAAATTGGTCTCCCGTAGATAATCCATTTTGAGTCGAGTGGTGAGCAGCACAAAAATGACAAACATCAAGCTACAAGCTAGTACAATAGAACTACAGGTGACATCAGGTCACACTACAAGGTTCCCTAGGTATCAACGAATATTCAGTTAAATGATACTGTTACAGAGAACAAAGGTATTAGGCACCATTACAATCGCTGAAGGCGATCACACCGAGGGTAGTTATCCATGACAACAATTGACGATTCTTTAGACGAAGAAACGAATAGCAAGGGAACAAGAGCAAGGGAACAATAGCAAGGGAACAATAGAGAAGCGGTATTGAAGTGTTCTATAATGTTCACAGATTATATAATGCAGGTATCCTTATATAAGCGTAGTAAGTGCTAGCAAGACGGTGCAACTTTACTCCGCTCTTATTTCAGGACAGATTGCTTCCTTCAAAATAATGGGAGTATTTGTGAAAGCATGTGAACTTCGTTGCAATTATAGGCTTTCCCGCGTAAATAAAATCAAAATCCTCTATATTGATAAACGTAGATCTGGATCCAACAAGATCCTGAATGTTGATACTAAATTGCAATCTCGCTTATGAAGTTAAGTAGTGGAATCTATGAAACGTATAATGGTCATTCTCATCTTTAAAGGGTATGCGAAGTGTGCGACCTAGTAGGTTAAACAAATATCCTACATATACCAGTTCTAGTCCAAATCTATTTTTTCTAAAAGCAAGTTACGGAGATCGTCAGTTTGGGGGTGTGCAAAGTCTACGACGCCAGGTGTCTTATTCCAAGACCTAATTTGGTTTCTGTATCCTTTTGATGGGTATGTGTAAGTATCATATTTGTGGTCTGCTTATATCCTCCTCCTTCGTCCCTCTCCCTACAGCCATTTTGAGGGATTTATTTGGAGAGCTTGATTAATCCTTCGTAAAACTAAGTGCAGTTATAATTGTAAAATTAAGTAGGCAGTGTATGTTCATGTGAGCGCTTCACGCAATAAAACTGCCAAAAATTAATAGGCTTCCACTACAGCTTAAGCCTATTGTTTGGAACACCGTAGACTGTGTCGCCCACTTCTAGAAAGGGTTCAGGTACCTGAAAATTTTAGTCCTATTGTTTCAAGGTTTCGCTTCGAGGTCGCACAGACTTCTCTCACAATATTCTATTGTCATGGGTGCTGCATACCAAGGTCCCTGGGCGAAAGTATTTCAGATCAGATCGAATTACACATGAGACGTCTGGGAAGCAATCGAAGGGTAAGGCAAAAGTGGAAGCAAAATGACGAGTTGGGATGTTTCTATTGTTCAAAAACTATCGTGAATGAGATTTTCACAGACAAGAAAAGGTACGTGATAGATGAAGCTACAAATATTTATCATCCTTGGAAGAAAATAACGTTAATATTGAAGACGTTACAGTTCAATACACAGACATTTTGAAAGTTTATTAAACTTTGGACAGATGAGGTTAAAGCCATTATATTTAAAAATGGCATCAAGGTCAGATGTGGGATTCTAGTTGGCTGCTGTAGTAACGCAGGTCCAGTTTGGAGGCGTTCTCGAACATACAAATTTTTTGGCAGCCTTCCGCAAACGATAATTCGGTTAACAATTGGAAGCAACTTACCACCAAAAATGGAAGAAATTAATTTTAGATTAATTGAAGCGTGGGTGAGTTTAAGAGCATCTGCTTAAACAGAACAATCAAATGGTTAATATTGTGACTTGGGGCGTCAATTGAAAGTTAGACAAAAACCGGATACTTTTTGTCACATCTTTTTGTGGCTGCAACTGTATGTGGTTGGACCCTTGATAAAGAAACCTGTAGTAGAACGAAGGTGAGTGAAAGGAACAACTCCAATAATAGACGAAGAATATCTATAAATTAATTGGTTTACCCTCTACTTAACAATTGTGATCTTGTTGTCAACCAGTTTAGGATTTTTTATCGAACTTTAAATGCAATTGATAATAGTGTTATTGGCTGTATTCACAGCTGTAGCGCAAGCTACCTTCATTAACTGGTGGGATTATAGCTATTCTTTCAACCTTGTTAATGGTTGGGATTCAGCTTTAAACCCAAGAAATTGTGATGATAATGTTTTAACCAACACTTTGTTTTTCAGTTGTACTGCTAACTTGGAAGTCACTTCTTTGTGGGGTAAGGCTTGCCAAAAAACAAAGTACCCTCACACTAAGTCTTTGACTACATCTACTGTCGGTTGGTGGAAGACCTCTTGGTACACTTGGTGTCCAATTCCTTCAACAGCTACTCCACCTTGTCCTCCTTCTACCACCAGTGTTCCAGTTAAGTGTTGCAACTACTGGGGTTTATGTACTACTAAGACCACCAAGGCTACCAAATGCACTACCACTAAAACAACTACTGGTTGTACTCACACATTCACTTGGTGGGAACCTTGCACGGGTTCTACAACCGCCGTTCCTTCCAGTACTCCATGTACCACTTCAACTACTCACTCCACGACTTTTAGTTCCAGCACCCCATACACTACTTCCACTACTCCAAGTAGTACTCCATGTACCACATCTTCCACTCCAACCACTACTCCATGTACCACATCTTCCACTCCAACCACCACTCCATGTACTACTTCAGCATCATCAGCTAGCACAGCTAGCGTTCCATATAGCTCTTCTACTACCGTTACCTCCAACACTGGTCCATCTACATCACCATGTACTACATCCAGTACCGCAGAATCATCTACTGCTGAATCATCTACTGCAGAATCATCTACCGCTGAGTCATCTACAGTTGAATCATCTACTGGTCCATCTACTTCACCATGTACTACATCCAGTACCGCAGAATCATCTACAGTTGAATCATCTACTGCTGAATCATCTACTGCAGAATCATCTACCGCTGAGTCATCTACAGTTGAATCATCTACTGGTCCATCTACTTCACCATGTACTACATCCAGTACCGCAGAATCATCTACTGCTGAATCATCTACTGCTGAATCATCTACTGGTCCATCTACATCACCATGTACTACATCCAGTACCGCTGAATCATCTACTGCAGAATCATCTACCGCTGAGTCATCTACAGTTGAATCATCTGCTGAATCATCTACTGCAGAATCATCTACTGGTCCATCCACATCACCATGTACTACATCCAGTACCGCTGAATCATCTACAGTTGAATCATCTACTGCTGAATCATCTACCGCTGAATCATCTACTGGTCCATCCACATCACCATGTACTACATCCAGTACCGCTGAATCATCCACTGCAGAATCATCTACTGCTGAATCATCTACCGCTGAATCATCTACTGGTCCATCCACATCACCATGTACTACATCCAGTACCGCAGAATCATCTACCGCTGAGTCATCTACTGGTCCATCTACATCACCATGTACTACATCCAGTACCGCTGAATCATCTACTGCAGAATCATCTACTGGTCCATCCACATCACCATGTACTACATCCAGTACCGCTGAATCATCTACTGCAGAATCATCTACCGCTGAGTCATCTACAGTTGAATCATCTACTGGTCCATCTACATCACCATGTACTACATCCAGTACCGCAGAATCATTTACAGTTGAATCATCTACTGCTGAATCATCTACTGCAGAATCATCTACTGCAGAATCATCTACTGGTCCATCCACATCACCATGTACTACATCCAGTACCGCAGAATCATCTACAGTTGAATCATCTACTGCTGAATCATCTACCGCTGAATCATCTACTGGTCCATCCACATCACCATGTACTACATCCAGTACCGCTGAATCATCCACTGCAGAATCATCTACCGCTGAGTCATCTACAGTTGAATCATCTGCTGAATCATCTACTGCAGAATCATCTACTGGTCCATCCACATCACCATGTACTACATCCAGTACCGCTGAATCATCTACAG